TATGTGATATATTTCTTCTCAATTTTAAAATTTGAACAAAATTCACTTTTAAGGGATCTTCTTCAATTATTATCATGAAAATCAAATGTCAGTTAGTCAGTGAGTTTTTATGATACACTTACAAGTATACATTACTTCTTTTGATTCTTGTATTGAGAGACAACTTTTTTATCCACCCCACCAGATACGTTAGACTATAATATCGGAGTTTAATGGAGTTTTTTTCCATTCCTCAGTAAATGGGTCCAATTTTTATAGAAATAACGTCGATTAACCAAGAGAATTTTAATTTCAACCCTCATTGAAGTTCGTTCCGAGTTAAATGGGAAAATAACTTTTCTTTGCCCTTGAGATTGATTAGTGTATCCAAGATGGCTGAATTCAAATTAATTATTTATTGGTTCTTCTCCTCCCCGTTTCCCCTACTTGGGGCTATAAATGACATTTTAATTTATTGCCTCCATCAGTTTGATGATGTGAGTACGAACAAAGTGTAAAAGGACCGAAAACGAATATCGTTTCGTGATGATATTTTTATCTGAAATATTCGATTGGTGAATGTACTGAATGTAATTTAAAACTTTCTCTCTTGTTTTTTATTCTGTATTTCAATCTTCATTTCAGTTTTGAAAATATCAACGTATTTCATTTTTCTGGAATCTATATATAATTTATAAAAAGATTGAGTAGGATTATCTTCTGCTATAAAAAATGCTGACTTAAAGTTTTCCAAGAATCACAATAGCAAGTGAGCAATAGGAACAATCGATTGAAAACTAATTTTAGGTCTTTCTAAACAATGTTTTTTCTACCTTGTCATCTACTTGTTTTACATTAGAGTACTTGGGGATGCATGTGGATTACCACCCTCAAGTAAAATCAAAGTTATCTTATACTTCGCTCTATTAAATCTATATTGTTATTGATGTAATTCATAATTTAAAGGTGAGGTGTTTCTAAAAATTTTCAAGGTGCGAAACAATTATTTTTCGTTGTATATTAAATATTCTATGATTGATTGAAAGTAAAAATTGAAAAAAATCACCATACAATTTTGTCAAACTAACGACTTCAAGGACGACTTCTAACTTTGATTCTGAAACGACCTTAACTTCGCACTAATCAAGGTGACTTGGATAGTCACCTCTTTACCACACGCTACCTGGAGTACTTTATTGATTTGACCTTCAACAATGTCATTGTCAAGATAAGTTGTCACATATCTCTTTCGGTCCACTTCATAAATTTCGTATGAATGAGAAGCCACTCACAAGAGTCAAAAATTAGTATCGAGTGTACTTCACTGCAAATATGTTTCGCCATACAAGGGAACTTTGAAGGTGGATATGAATTTAGTGACTGTATGTGATGACATCACACCAAGGGTAATTTTGGGTTTGAACTTGAACGATCTTGGAAGGTATTGGTAAGATGACTCAGGATATCTTCAAATTTTAACCTTGAAACTATCTTGGTGAGTTAACTTTGAGAATACCTTTCGATCTTATTGAGGTTTCTGTATTAGGTACATTGAAGGTGGTAAATGGGAGAGCATTGAAAAGGTGTGGGTTAGATATCAAAAATGGTCTTCCTCGGGTGTCATAACTGTTTGAACTGTTTGAATATTTTCGAAACACTATTTTTATTTGAACACTGAATTATACATAAAGCACTTTTCTCTATTCAGTTTGTATTCCAAATGTCCGTTATGGAATTGAATCAGATATTATTCACAGGATTGCTACACAACTATAGTAAATGAAAGAGGTAAAATTTCACTTACATGGAACACTGTCATCCTCACTGATGGACATCCGATGTTTCGGAATAAGACACTTGTCTTATTCATAAAATTATCACTTTATGTCACGAATGAGTTGAATCTATCATCGATCGATGATAGTACGTAATGATATTCATTCTCTTGTTTGATTGAATCCATGGAAATCTTGTTTAAAATGAAAGGGGTATATTTTTAGGCAAATGTTTTATTCCGAATCATCGGATGTCTGTTTCGATAGGGCTTTTCAATGAACGTGTTAGTCCAGAAGTTTTATTCGTTTCTTGAAGAATACATCAGTAGTTCACTTCTTTCATTCCTCAACACCAGGATAGAGTTATTACACAACACAAAACATAAATGATCATTTCGCAGTCGAATTCAATTAAAATTTCAAATTCAAATTTATTAACTGATTTAAATATCAAATGAATGTCTATAAATATTAAAAAATTGTTAGTACATGCATAATATTTTAACACAGTCTGCTTAAGCACTTGTGTTTGACTGGATTAGTTGAAAAATAAAGATTATGTTAACTGGTAATAGATATTGTTCATGAAAAAATTAATTGAAATGAAGAAATGTATCAATAATAGTATTTTATTATCGATGAGGGTGAAGTAAATTATCTGTTGAACTGAATTATTTCATTGTGAGCACATTTTCAATTTTTTCACTATTATCTGATATCCAGCTGAAGTCAAGCTCGTTAATACTTTTTGATTTTCCTTTGGTTTTCCATCTCATCCTCAAGGGGTGTTTTTCCCGAAAACTTCCCAGTATGCCACCTTGAGGTCGAGGTTATTTTTTTGTTATCAAAAATTGTTTCTAATTTTCAAAATTGACTGGACAATCATTCATATTCTCAAATTTTGGGACATCTCGTAATTAGAAAATCTACACTTTTAATGTCAAGTACATACATTCACAACTGACTGCTTCAAAGCTATGGATCCTGGAAATTTGATGAAGGAGGGATCCACTAAGTGAGCTATATAGCTATATATCAACTACTTTCTTTCTTGAAAAGAAAAAACCTTTTTTTCCATAAGCAGTTCATTTACTGAAAAAGGGGTTGGATGGATAACATGGTCAATTTTTTTCACTGAGGTTACACTACAAAAACACACTTTTGTCTATTTTCCACTATATTTCTTTATTGTTGACCGGTTTCGGCTATTGCAAAACTGAAAATTTTGAAAATGGTGTAATAACCGAAACCGGTCAACAATAAAGAATTATAGTGAAAAATAGACAAAAGTGTGTTTTTGTAGTGTATCCTCAGTGAACATGAATTTCCACAAAATAAACAAGTCGTCAATCGAAGAAGTCAATTTTTTTCTCAAAAAAACAATTATATTCTTGCTGACGTTTCGAATTTAATAAAAAATTTCTTCAGGGCTCTGTAACAATGTATTTTCATAAATATACCTTCCACAAAACTTATACGATTATTATCGTTTCAATTTCACAAGAAATAATGAGTTCTTAAAATCAAATTACTCACCGAAAAGTAGTTTTTTCGTGTTGATAATATCACTATTATAAAAACCATCAGACATATAAGATACATATTTAAAAAATAAAAAACATTGCAACAACAAATTTCCGAGATAACACCAACAAAAAACTACATGAAACAAACGAATGGCTTTATCTGTGATTCTGATAAGGTGGTGTCTGTTTTTTTAATCAATCGAAGAAAGAAAAAAAATGAAAAAAGTGTAAATTATTCAGGTATTTTACGTATCAAATTGAAATATGCAGTATTAAGGCCATCGACATCTCTTCTAGTGTTAACACTATCGCATTTGAGGATATGTATCATTTCGCTCAAAAGTCTTTTGGAAAAATATGGTTGAACATCTAGTAAAGTTGGATGATCAAAATAAAAAATGTGTCCATATTTCTTTCATGTTCAACGAGAGCTGTGGGATTTTTTATATTCAGGTTCTTAGAGTCTCTCATGTGTTCTGAAACACGTGTTTTAAGATACCGTCTGGTTTGACCAACAAATCATTTGTGCCACCTTCCACAGTTCAATTTGTACACAATATTGGATGGTATTTCTTGTTGTGTTTTTGTTTTTTGTTTCTAGAAAAAATGCTTTCCAACTGTATTTTCATTTGAAAGAGCCACTTTTATTTCTTCGGTACTGAGTAGCATTACAAGTTTAACAGATAAATTTTCTACAATTGGAATTTTGTGATATTTGAGTTTCACCCCTGCATTTTGGTAGGAGAAACTTCTTTCTTTAATTATTTTTCTAATGGGGGCTCTAAGAAAATTATTTCTTACTAGGTAATTCTCAATTAATTGGAGATTCTTTTTATGGAATTCAGGATTGGAAATGGCAATTGCTCTTAATTTCAAATTCCTTATAATATTGATTAAACTAGTTAACTGAGTTTATTTAATTATTAAAGATATCCACTTCTACAGCACACCAAGTAACACTGAATTATTAGTTTTGGTTTTGATAAAGTGTTTCATAGGATGGGTGTCTGCGCAATTACAGCTACATATAGGGAGTTAATCTTCTTTTGCTGCTTGCTTATAGCTTGTCCATTTCTTTCAAATCTCCGAAATGCCGAGCAGAGTGTTGACTTTGAATTATCAGACACTAACTGTGGAACGATAGAAGGCAATACCTAGTTAATCCTTAATTAGCACAAGTTTGCGCTTCTTAAGGTTGTTGTGAGTGGAGGTTAACCTGAAAGCATATTTCAAACAAACAATAATATGATTATTTCTGTAATTTTTGAATGCGATTTATAATGAACTGTTGATAAAAAAATATTAGATAAGAATACCTGGAGGGAAGATATTAAGGATGAAAATTTTTCAAATTGCCATCCTGTATGCAATTCGGTAAACTGATTTTGCACCAATTGTGAACCTCCAAATCTTTTGGATGCCGCTCGTTCATTAAATAATGTTTGACTTCATGCAACGTATACCGATTGTACTTATGATGCTGGAAAATAGTCATTTTTATGAATTTTAAATAAATTCTGTTATTTCATTTTATGATATCGTAAATTATTCAGACATCCATATTCTATTGAGAACAATGAAGAGCTAATACGAAACGACAACAGAAGTATAGCATTTATGATGCCTGACAGAATTGTGCAATTTTATTTGCATAACGTCATCTGATATTGGGTAACTTTCACTATTTATGGCAAGTACTAACATCGTTTCAGTTCGAAAACACAAATGCAAAAAGGTACCTGCCGAAGTAACTGCCTTTGCAAATATAACTCATAAGTCTCATGGTTGTATAATTTTCAATTGTTCAACTATGGTTGCAATGACTTTTGTTGATGAAATGTAGGTAAATGAAGGTAAATATATTTTTTTAATATTATGTTATTTTTAAATTACGGAAATACTAAAGATACAAAATCATTTAAGAACAAAAAGTTTTACAATTTCCTTCAAATTACTTTCACACAAAACAAAATAATGCCTGCAAAAATATTTCGATAGTTATTTTTAACAAAAATGAAGGATTGTAAACAGCAGTACCAGAGTCCAAAGACTATAACAAAAGAAAATATGTACCTTTACAACTATGATTACTGTTCCATATACATATCAATGAAATTTTTTTTCAATACTATTTTCAATACATTAAGAATTAGAAAAATATTTTATTTAATAGGTACCTAATTGTATCTTTTCATGCTCAGATAACTCTTAATAGAAACTAAACAATCCTTTTTGGATAGGACACTAAGAAGGATTTGAAAACCTTCAAAAATTAAGGAGAGTGTCAATTTTCATATCCGGAGGTAACTGTGTCAAACCTATTGGCTGTAGTCTACAGGTAGTCTGTAGGTCACTTCGTCTACGACTGCGGTAGACAATATCAAAGGGAATGAGACAACAGCGAAGTGATCTAGGTATCTTGTGCAGGTTTATATGCCTTATGTTTCGTCTACACTATGGTAGACATTCTCAAAGACAGTAAGGCAAACGACTAAACGACAAAGAATAGAACAGAATATAATTGTTTATTGGCTACGTGATACATCTGAACAAATATTTGTAGCAAGTCAAAACAAAAAGTTATAAATATATCGTCATATATACAAATAATAATATAAAAATATCACAATGCTTGTATAACAGAATAATGAACACAATAACAAATACAATCAAACATCAAAAAACTAATGTTAAAAATGAGAACAATCGTTACTCGAGGTCACACGAAATGACTATGTTCTATAGCATATATTCATCTGTGAAATAAAAAAAGTAATTCAAAATAACTTCAGTTTTTGCTTGAAACAGTAGATACCTACTGAGTTGTTTTATGTGACATGATAATTCATTACTTATAGAATTTCAAATTCAATGAATTTTTCTGTGAGGTATTTAGTCTGAATCTCTCAGTTCTTATTTCCTGATTTTGTTGGATATTCATGTTGTTGCGATTGTTAAATGCAGTTTGATATATTTTTATGAATTTCAATCAATGTTTCATATATGAAGGCTGAAGGAAGCGGTATAATTTTAAGATGGTTAAAAAGTGGGCGACAATGATCTCTAGAGTTGGCATTAAATATTAGACGTATAACTTTTTTTTGCAATACAAAATAAATTTTTTTGGAATGACAAGAATTCCCCCACAACACTATTCCATATACCATATACCATGTGACTATGGAAGAGTCCGAAGTAAGAAGATATGGCCACTCTGACACGAATCATAAATATCACACTTAATAATTTCTTTGCCAGTTTGTCAACATGACATGACTAGTTCAATCTGTCGTCTATATAGATGTCAAGTAGCTTAACACATTCACCCGAGGTTAAATTTGTATTTGTGGAAATTGAAAACATTTTTTGGAAAGTATATGATAATATAGGTCATTTATATATAGAATGAACAACATTGGCCCAGTACAGAACCTTAGGGCACACCATGTTTGACAGATTTCACATTCGATTTAATCCCATCACACTGTGATCTATCGTGCAAATAGAAATCAAAACATTTAGGGGACAGTTCACGGATACCACAATAGGAAAGTTTCTCAAGCAAAATATTGTTCGAAACACAATCAAATGCCTTCGATAGATCGCACAACGTAATGAATTAATGTCTGCCCTCCCCAAGTCCTACCACTACATTGGATATGATATTCAAAAGAGCATTGATTGTAGACTCACTCTTTCTATACGCAAATTGTCCAGGACAGAGAAGAGAATTAGCTTCTGAGTATGTTATTAATCTGCTTTTGACAATCACCTTGATAACTTTATATGGTATAGGTATTATCGGAATAGGTCGATGGTTGTCAATAATGTGAGGGCCTTCTTTTTTTCAAAAGAGGTAAGACTACAGATTTTTTCAATATTGCAGGAAAAACCCCATGAGCAAAACATTCATTCCTTAATAGAGATAATGGTTACGCAATCATACTGGCAATACTTGATCCCACTGTTGAGCTAAAATTAGTCCGAACAATTGGAGTTCTTGAGAAACTGAATACTTTCCGTTACTTCCCTGAGGGTGGTGGGGAAAATACGAAGAAGTTAACTGGCGTTTTATGATTTGAAAAAATCGGTCGCTTCATAATTTACTTCAGGAAGAGATGAAATGAGTCAATTTACAATATCGGCAAAATAATCATTAAAGTCACTCTCTCTCCCATTACATTCATAATTGATGATCCTTCAAGTATCCCTACTGATATTTGGAAAACATGCCAAAAAACTTTTACACGATTCTCGTTTTTCCAGTTCTATAAACTTTTTGTAATTTTTGAGTTTTATAGATTTTTTCTGTCACTGAATCTTTTGTAGCGTTTTGGACAACCCCGATACTCGAGAGGATTTCCCTTTTAGAGTGCAATTCATCACTGAACCTACTGACTGGAGGTCCTTGATCGCGATGATGTTCCACCCTCCTCAAGAGAAACATCTCGACCACATAGCCATTCAAGACCACCAAAAGAAGTTCACCCAAAGCATCCGGAGAACGATTCGTGTTTTCGAAAATACTCCAGTCGAAACATTCGACGGCGCCTTTTAATGTGTTTATAGCTGAAAAAGAAATTATTCTTTGATAAATGGCGAGTTTTTTTGATGTGACTGTAAATTCGCTCAGCATGTATTGTCCCAAGTGATCTTGTAGGTTCCTCCATTGTGGCAGTTATATTAAAAGATTCGAATACAGTTCTGAACAAAAACAATTTGCTGATAAAAAATTTATACTGATATCACCGAGAAGTATCACTTTACTTTTTTCTTCAGTATCTTTTGTAGACACGCATCGAATTTATTTATAAAACTTTCAAAATTTCCATTACAACATCTGTACAAAATATTTCTACATCCAAATCAATACAAAGTGATCCAGTTGCCACGTGAACGCGATTTTGTGTTTTTTTGAATTGCCTGTCTGTAAGTCAAAAAAAGCTTTTTTTTTACAAACTTGTGACCATAAACACATGTAGTCTGTTATCTTCAAACTGTTCGTTTCGTCTACGCTTCGTGGCCTTAGTTTCAGTCCTAAAAGTTTAAATCTGTTCAAAATCTGTTTTTCTTTTAACCAGCTGAGCCTCCACTACGAAAGACAACTGTCAAAAGTCGAAACTTGTGCGAGCTAACGCTTAACGAGGTCTCACCTTTCAACGTGTGATTCCTAAATTCTGGAACTTTCACACTTGAATTTAAAACATTAGGACAGGGACATGAAATGTATGTACAAAAAATCAGGTGAATTTTATTTTTCTCAAAATATAAAACACGTGCCAGCATTTTTCAATCTTCGAAGTAGTTCTGATATACACTTTTTGGGTCGCAGGGGACCAAATCTGGTGAATACGGTGACTGAAGAATAATTACGGTGTTGTTTTTGGCCCAAAAAATTACGAACAAGTAATAACGAGTGAGCAGGTGCATTATGAATTGTTTTTCCGTATTCTTCGTATTGCTTCTCGCAAGCGACGAATAACTTCAAAATAATACTCCTTATTAACCATACAAACCACGTGGCAAGTCATTCAACAATTTCTGAGCGATGCTCATGCGACGGTTTTTTTATCAAAATTCTGCAATTTTATCCGAAAAAAGTGCAAGACATGAACCAATCGAAATGCCTACAACCTCAGCAACTTCTATAATAGTGATTCGACGATTCTCCATAACAATTTCTTCACTTTCCCAACATTTTCATCGGTTATTGATGTAATGGGGCGTCCAGGGCGAGCGACGTCATTTACAACTTCTTGACCTTCTGTGAAAAGATTGTTATCACTTGTAATCACTTTTCTGACTCAGAGTAAATTCACCGTAAGCCAATGTCGACATTTCAAGTATTTTCGTGCACTTAGTGCCATTAATTGATGTTATTAATGGAATTGATGAAATTTTTTAATAGTCCACGTAAATACTTTTTAGTCTTGAGACTAAAATTGACACTGAAATTAATTCAAGAAATTGAGTTAAGAGATACAAGAATTAAGGTGTTGGAATTGACCATAGTATTTCCTGGTTCATACTCATTATATCAGTGTTTACCTAAAAGAGGTAAGTGGTCAACGGACCCGTGAAGGTGAACACGTCAAATCCCCTTCCAACCCGTCATCGCAGGGTGGACCCTTCTTCGGTATACTCTTCCAAAAACAGTTGCGAATGGACCCTGTGCGCTGTCCACCGATGTAATTTATTGCTAAAGCTGGACGGCGTCCACATAAAGGGTGCGAACTTGCAGCCGGCATCATAAAAAATCCCTTGTAACCAGCCATTTTCGAAAAAAGCATTCATAATCTATTCTGTTGTCCGAACTAATGCAGTGGCTGGTAGGTATTATTTGAGAGAATTTTTTTTTCGAACCCTTGAGGGAACCGAAAATGGGTCAAGAGATATTCATGGTTGATTAGGAATTTGACCGTTGAAAATTTACAGGGGTAGATATTGGATATCTGAATAACAGTTTCATAGGTTATTTATTACAGAGTAGGTAAAGTAGGACTTTGTGAAAATATCCCTGCAGAGAAAGAGTATAGTTAATTAATGATTGAATGTCTGAAAATTGTTTATTATGTAGAAAACTGGTGAACGGATCCGGCTCTGCATGAGTCATATAGTATATATACCTATGTCGCATCATCTTGTAACTGATAATAATACTCTAATAAAATGCACAACGATCAATTTTAATTTCACGATAGGTAAGTTAACAACGGCCTCAATACAGCATAAATGCCACCTGAACTTTTCCTTTTCATGCATCACAATTGCAACCTTTCCTTATCATGCTTGTCGCATCGGTATGTGAGGCCACTTGAATTTATTTTGTCGCTCGTTAGTTTTCATTTCACAATAACTCATTAGATTTTGAATGGGAAGGTTGAGAATAATACTCAACCATTTACACAACACTAAAATTTACTGCTTACAGCTGTTTCGACACACTGTATCATCTTCTGAGCGAGTTATAAGCTAACCTAGGTATATGGCCTTAAATACTAAAAGTTGTATTGGAAGGTAGACAAAGGTATCAATGAGCATTTGGGAAATTACTAGCAATATTGATAATTGGAGAATTATAAATATTTTTTCTACCAAGAAGGTTTTATATTCTTTATTGACTGGTTTTGCGGGATATTTATAAGTATCTGCATCATGGAGTGCAAGTTCATGAGAGTATGGGTGAGTATAGATTGATTGTGAATTGTTATATATGTATGGGTGGGTTTATGATATATTGAAAAATTGTGTTTGTTGTTTGAGCGACAGATATTCAAATCCAGGAAGTTCAGTGAATTGTGATCGTCTTCCATTTCCATTGTGAATTCTACCTATATGAGGACTAAGGCTGTTCAGATAAATGAGAAAACTATTTAACTGGTGTATTGTTTCGACCCAGCGAACAAAGACGTCGTCGACATATAGATGTCAGTATTTAAAAATATGATTGAATTTACATGCATAACCCAGTTAAATCAATAATTTCCTGGGTAATTATTGGGGTGCTGTTGTTATGTTCTAACAGGTCATTAAGATTGTCCCTTGTTAATGGAACTGGGATACTAGGAAATAGGTTTTTTACATCAAATGATTCAAATTTGCAGGTACATTGTCTTTTATATTATCTACCAAGAAACTCGAGTTTTTAGTGCTATATTTTGAATTGAAATTGGTGAACTTTTGAATTATGTTGACTAACTTGAATGCAATGTTTTGGCAAGGGGCACAAGAAGCCACTGGTCTAATGAGGTTGGCTTCTTTACGGACTTTTAGTAACCCATAGAGAGAAGGAGAGGTTTGGGATTCATTATTTAAACGGGCTTTCTCGTGGTCGCTAAGATTATAATTGATGTTTTTGAAAATAGCTTTTATCTTTTTTTGAAATTGTTCCGTGTGATTATGTTTCAGTTCTGTGAATTTGTGTCAGTCTTAAAATTTATAGATATTGTTCTCATAAATTGGGCTTTCGATTGAAATGACTGCATTACCTTTATCTGCTTTTGTGAATACTAGGTTATGTTTAATGATATTTTGAGCGATTCTGCTGCTTTGACTCCTGAATTAACTGATTTCTTGCGTGTGTTCGGATGCGTTCGTTCTAATACTTAATATGCCAGATATTTTTTTTTTGTATCGAAGTTTTTCAATGCGATCTCTGTTTCGACTGCTAGGTTTTCAAAGTGGTGGTTATTCATTGAAAACGGGTTGTTGTATTTGAAGCCCTTCTCCAAAAAGTCAATCTCTGATCGATTGAAGATACGTCAGTCAAATTTATGAATCTATTGTAAAATTCTGGTTCATTAGTCCCATTTAATATCGCGGGTTCCTAGTTTATGACTTTCTTTTTGACGTTTAACAATCTCTGTAACTTTTTCTTTTCACTTCACTGTCATATAGGTCAAATCCTACATTATGGATTCTACAAATGAGTTGTGAGTGCAATAACCTGATATAATAGTGAATTATATCTTGCTTGTGGTAGAGGTCCTTAGTTCTTGATCCAGCCTTCTGAAGCCTTCTTCTGAATCGGTTTTCTTGCTGAGTAGCTATTCACTGATGATTTCACCTGTATATAATTAGATATTACCCCTTTCTTCTTGAACATACACTGTTGAACCAAATATTCTGGCAGGTGACTGTTAATCGTAGTTTATAATACCAACGACAGTCAGTTGCTGCTGAGGTTGCATTTACTCAGAATATTTGTACATGTTTTATTGTCGTGAGAAACACTCCATCTTGTTGTATGTTTTCTACATATAAAAATATAATATAAAATGTTAGTGTGGCAAAATGGAAATAATAATAGAAGTGTGTGTGGTCTGTCATTAAAAACCTTGAGGGAAAAACGAAACATTTTTCGAAAAATATATCAATTGAAATTAATGACAAGATTGGTTCGGATCCTCAGGCTATAGCTGATGATTTCAACCGTTTCTTCATCCAATCTCTTCGTGACATTATAAGTAAAATAAATAATGCACATATAATATCACAAAAAATCTACTCTAGCATCAAAAAAGTGTTTTTCTTCAGCATGTAAATGAAGAAGAGATAGAACATTTGATTAAACATAAATTGAAAAATAGACATTCCTCGGTCCCAGATGGTATATCTGCATATGTTATGAAACGTATTTCCACTCAAATCACAAAATTTTTATATCATATTATAAATAAGTCTTTTCAGGATGGAATTTATCAAGCAGATTGAAAATGTTACTTGTAACACCTCTTTTCAAAAAAGGTACCTTACATAATATGGAAAATTACAGACCAGTATCTCAGTCCCTTGTAATATCGAAAATTTTTGAATATGTAATGCTGAATTCTCTGATGGGATTCCTGATGAGGAATAATATACTTAATCGAAACCAACACGGATTCCATGAAGGTCGTTCAACGATGACTGCTATATACTCTCTCTATGAAAAAATTTTGGAAGGTGTGAAAGCGAATGAAATTACTTCAACTGTATTCTGTGATATGAGTTGAGCTTTTGACTGCGTGAAACATAAGCTTTTATTGCAAAAACTATACAATTTTCGAGTTAGAGGAAAAACTCTTGATTGGTTCGAATCGTATCTTCGAAACCGT